TTCTCCCCTAAACCTTCCTGTTCGTCCGTCTCACACGTGAGCTTCTGGGGGACATCTCACATCCAAACCATAACAGGGCCTGGAGACCCTTCAGCCTGAGCACGGGTTCAGGAAGTGGGTCCTCTGGAAGACAGCCCTGGCCCTCAGGGGACCCTCCACACAAGCCTAGGCAGTGCTAGTATAAGGCTGTGCCATCTTCGGAGCCAAACTTTGGAGGCATCAGCAAGAAGTGGAAAGAGCAGCAGGCCTGAACCCTGAGTGCCTGCCGAAGGGCTCTAATCTAAACCGAAGCCACCACAGGGAAAGGACGCAGTGTCCCCAAGACAGTGTCTGAGCTCCTGGATCAAGCCATTCCTGAGCCCGAACAGGCTCCTTTCCATGAATAGCCAATCTACTCCCCATTTAGCTAAGCCACGGTACCTGTAATCCTCCAGCTAAAGACCCCTGACCCACAGCATAAAGGGCACTGCAGGCCCAAAACCTCTGAGTGCACTGCCAGATCGACAGCCTGGTTACCTCCTGAACAAAAAGAAGAATCCTGGGTCTCAGGGTCCAGGTTACCAAGAGGCAGGAGTCAGACTGACACCATGGAGACCCACATGCCGTCCCTGCAGAGCAACAGTCTCAGGGTCCCTTCAGAGCCCTTGCAAAACATACTGGCCCCTCCCACCCCTGTGTGGCTGCCCTTGAGCCAGAGCAGAGTCACCAAGGAGGAGGGCGCCAGGCTCTCGCTTGCCACAGGCCCCGAGGGCTCTGGTGAGTCATCTGCCTGGAGCAGGCTCAGCTCCCGAGCAGTAGGCCCTTCTCAGCCGACATATCTACTTGAAGGAAAAGAAATAAACACAGCAGATCTGAAGGACATAATTGCTGTGCTCTTGAGGAGCACAGGCTAAGAGCCTTCCACCCAGACATGCCACACAGATGGCCTTGCGCAGAGGCCAGCAGGCCCAGGGCCTCACCACGGGAGCCCCATCACACAGGCTTAGGCCCTGGAGCAGAAGCCCTGGCCAGACATCTCATATCCAAACCATAACAGGGCCTGGAGACCTGCTGCACCCCAGGCACAAGGGACCTGTCACCCCACCCTGTGCCCCAGGGCTTGCCTGCTCCTTGCACCAACACCAGACTGACCCCTTCCTCTGTGTGACCTTGGGTTTCTGTGGGTAAAGAGGAAACCGCAGACCGTGGGAGACCACCGTGGGTGTATGGCTTCAGCCTGTGCCTCCAGGCGTCCCCACTGCTGCAGCTGCCTCTGTAGCTCCCAGGTCAGCCGGGCCCACAGCACAACGGGAAACTCCACAAACAGGAGCCACAAGCCTACGTGACTGTCACACAGCCTGTGCCGCGCTCGCCGCCCTCGCCAGCTGCTCCTCCTCCCACTGTGCCCGCTCTGTTTGTTTACTGATCCTTTATTCTGGTGCCGGGCATCAGACCCCGGGCACTGCAAATGCTCAGCGTGCTCTGCCACCAGGCCAGCCTGTGCCTCCCTGTGGATCACACTCCTGTGGGTCACACTCCTGTGGATATATCAGAAAACACAAGAGCAGACATAGGGTTCCGCACCCTCGAGGGTCCGGGCTGGGGTCTCAGGACGTACCCCCATGGGTGAGGGGATGACTGGTGTGTTTTCCATGAATATGTGATTGTGACTGGGTTTTGTTAACTGCTTTGTCCACTCTTGCTACCTACAGGACACTCCAGGGAATGCGGGGTGCCCAGGCAGGTTTGGACAGTGACTTTGCCAGGTTTATGGCAGCAATTCCCCAGGGACAAACAGAATGAAACCTGCAGGCACAGTTGTGCATACCTGTGATCCCAGCACTTGGGAGGCTGAGGCAGGAGGATTGTGAGTTTGAGAGCAGCCTCAGCAACTTAGTGAGGCCTGAGCAACTTAGCAAAACCCTGTCTCAAAATAAAACATAAAAAGGGCTGGGATGTGGCTCAGTGGTTAAGTACCTCTGGGTTCCATCCCCAGTACCAAAAAATAAATATGAGGCCAAATGAGATTGACAGAGACCCAGACCTAATGTAGAGATGGACGTGGCTGTCGATGCAGACAGGTGAAAACATGGATGGAGATGAGACACGGGATACGTGGAAGGACAACCAATGATGGCCGTCAGCCTGCACAGGGAGGAGTCGAAGACACTGGAGGTTTCACAGACTGAATGGCAGACCGCCCACCTGACGGACGGGGACTGCAGGTTGCAGGAGGTGTGTGCTGAGCCCAGTGTGCCCAGTGGCCCTTACTTGTGCAGACAGCCCCTGCGCATGTGCATACGTGTTCACTTCATAGTAGGTGGAGAGCGTGCTTGTGGGCATACATGTGTGCATGGGGCTGAAAATTCAGGAGAGGAACCAAGCCATCAGCAGTGAAGTCAGCAGGGACTAGGAATAGGGAGACTAGCATTCACTCCATGCACCTCTCTGAGACACGTCTTTACAACGAGCATCGACCGCCCTTACGACCTGACCAGGAGCCAGGAGGAGCCATGGCAAAGCTGCGGGGCGCTGCTCACAGAGAGATTATGCAGCTTGGGTCTGCGGAGGCTCACCCCATTCCTTCACCTGCCGGGGCTCTGGCCCTGTGCATGCTGATGACAGTGTCCATGACAGGCAGCCAGAAAGCACTGCCCAGTGGGAGCTGAAAACCTGGCAAAGGTGCTCACAGCATTGAAACTGCCTCCAGGCTGCAGAGCAACCTGCTCCTGGAATGTGCTCCTCTGAGAGCCACTGGCCAGACCTCCCATCTCACCAGGTCCTGCGGAGCTACCCCCAAAACTGCTTTCCCTTTGTGGTGAAATAATGCAAACGTTCCATCCCTTCAGGTGGAAGCAAGAGCTAAATTTAAATGCAGTGACTTAATGATGCATCTGCAGTTCCCAGTGGCTGACAATCTATCAAGAAAAAGACCCGCCCGACCCAAATGGAGGAGATTCATTCATACGCGCCCATCTCATTCCACCGCTCTCAACCCCAAAGTGACCAAAATCAAAAGCAGCAAAAATGTAATAAGCCCTCAGAATAATCTGGTGATCTGTAAAAAAGCAGAGTGACTTCTGCACCACACAGACAGGTATGACCCATAACTCGAAAAAGCCACAGCAAATGGTCACCCACATCACTCAGCTGAGAGGTCTCTTCCCTGAGCAACTTGGGCAGTTCTCAGTGTTCTTAGCTGCAGGTTGGTCTTTCTGAGGCACAAGGATAAATATCCGCTTTTTCTAAATGATACCTACTGAGGGATCTGATACCATTGTATTGATAATAATGAAACATTGAGAGCTTTAGAGTATCTTACAGAAAGCCCTCCACCCCCAGAGATGCCGACTATACTCATTAAATGATGGTTTGCAGCTTGATTGTGACAGGAAACAAAGGATTACCAAGATACTCATCCTACATCCAAAATAGTCACAGGCTTCATACACAAGTTTTCTGCCTCCTTCTAGGGAGAATGAATGTGTAGAATAGAAATCAGAAGATGGGGTGCAAATATAAGTGTATGAAACATATGTTGCCTGGATCCATTTCTACCATCATCATCATCACCACCACCACCACCTCCACCACCATCATCATCATCATCTCTATCATCATCACCACCATCATCACTACCACCATCATAATTTCCATCACCATCATCACAATCACCACCATCATCACCATCACCACCATCATCTCCATCATCATCATCACCATCACCATCATCATCACACCATCACCACCATCATCTCCATCATCATCATCACCATCACCATCACCATCCCCCTTATCATCACCACCATCACCACTATCACCATCATCACCATCACCATCATCATCACCATCTCCCTCATCATCACCACCATCATCACTATCACCATCACCATCACCACCATCACCACCATCTTCACCATCACTGTCATCATTTCCATCACCACAACCTACAGCTCCCCTATATCCATCATTGTCACCTCCATCATCCCACCATCCTCACCATGTGGACTGGAATCTGAGACCCAGGACCACTGTTTCTATCTGTCGCAGACCCCATCCCAAGCCTGGGCAAAGGCAGCAAAAGTGTGGTGGGATCACCTTCTGCTTCATGATCCTAATGCAAGCAGAACACCCCTCAGAACCAGGGCCTGGCCAGCCAACTGAGGGCAAAAGCTCTTGGTCTTGAGTGGCATGAACAGTCCTGTTCACGTCGCCCCCTGTGCAAGAAGCCTCAAGCCAAGTGTGGCACAAAGGTGTGCCTGGGTCCTGAACTCTGGACCTGGCCACTAACTTCCGACTTCTCCCTGCACTTGTGGTTCCTCAGGTGGCTCAAACTCAAAACTGGGCTCGATTGTCCCTGTGGAAGTGAATCCCGACCCTCGCTTGGCCCTTCTCATCCTAGAGAAGGCACTTCTCCTCCACGTCTCCCAGTGCAGACCATCCGGAGGTCGTGCCTGCCATCTCCCCTCTCCCTCCATCCCTCCACGCAATGCTGGCAGGTCCTACCACCCAGTGCTCCTAGGACCTGCTCACGGCCTTCTCTATACACAGCAGGTGCCAGCCACAGCTGCTCCTGGGCAGCGTGGCCTCCCAAACCTCCTGGCTTCCATGCTTGCCTCCATCTCCAGTCAGAGCCTAGGGTGATCTTATTAAAGGGTGACTCTGATCACGTCTCTGTCCTAACTCTGTCCTCATCAACTAGCAATTGGTCTTTATCCTTAAAGTCGTTGCCTTAACACAGATGTCAGGGTCCTGAAGGAGCTGCCCCGTCCACCTCTCCCCACATGTGCCCAGCAGGCTGCTATACACATGCTCAGCTCATGCTGGCCGCAGGGCCTGTGTTCTGCCATCCCCCACAATGCCATCTCGGAGGATGCGGACCACATCTGCTTGGTTGGCCATCCAACCAACAAGCTGACAGTCAGCCCTCGACAACACGCTGTGAATAAACTCTTCAACACCAAAAAAACAGGCTCAGCCTGAAGCTGGCAGGGGAGCACTTGAGAGAGGGGAGGACATACCCCAAGGCCCCGCTGCTGGGTGCCTGGTCTCCAGACGTGAGGGGGTCTTCCGAAGGCCAATCACTTCGCCTCTGCCTCTGTGGATGTCAGGCGTGGCGCGCCATCCCTGACCTGCAGGGAAAAGCACACACGGTCCATCAGTCAGGAAGGGACAGCTGGGGAGCTGGCCTCAGCCTCGTTCCCTGACCCCCATCCAGGGCAGGGAGGGAGAGACGAAGCTGGGCCAAGAGCAACCCCAAGGCCTGGGTGCAAGTCCGCTGGGAGAACAAGCTCAGAGTCCTTCTACCCTGGACTTTCTTTCGCGCCCATCAAATTCCTGGTGCCGACAGTGAGAAAGACACACAACTCCTGATGCCCCCTTTCTGCCCAGTGGACCCCCTGGTCCCCGAGTCCCAGGCCTGGTTAATTACCAGGTTCCGCTGACGGCAAAGGCGACCTGAGAGCACAAATCCACGCTGGGCTGGCTCTGAGCACACTCTGATCCTCAAAATGTGACCACACGGTGGTCACAGGGGGAGTTGCTGCACATCCGGCTGATTGATGAAGTCCAATGTGGAATTCATCAGAATTGCAACCAGACACTCGAAGACTTTCCAGCACCAGGTAGACCTCACGGTGACATACACAGACAAAAGGTCAGAAGTTGTTTTACATCCCCTTTGTTTTGCCAGGACAAGTTTTTAAATCACCACATGAGACTGAATCGCCATAGGTTTCATCAAAAGCCTCCCAAGTCTGCCGCATCTAAATTAAGCAGCATGGTCAGGGGAAGAACAAAGAGACAGCCAGGCTTCATCCCAGAGCTGGGGACCAAAAGCCCGGTCTCTGCAGCCAAGATTCAATTGATTTCAATTTGGCCAGAGTCTGCTGAGCGTCTCCAGGCTCCCGGCAGTCCAAGTCAGATGGCCACAAGGACCAGGAGGGAGGGAAGGCCGGACACGTGGGTGTGATGCCCACTCAGCTGGAATATAATAAGATTCGGAATGATGAGCAAGGAGCTGCAGGGGAGATGTCTAGACCAGAGACTGAGGTTTGCCTTCTGGAAAGGCACAAGGACTGTGCTCAGAGGGAGCAGGCAGCGGCCCGGCAGCAGGAGCCATGGAAATTGAGAAAGTAGCAGCTGACCATGGACAGGCCTCCCAGCCCCACACGCACATTGGAGGGGCCAGACGTTACCCCACACTGGCCTCCAAGTAGCCGGAGACTGGGAATACCGTGTGGGTGGGAATGTACGGCTGGGCCAAACCTCTAGGTGCTGACCTCAGGAGTGACAACAGGAGACACTTCAGCCCCGCATGCCTATGTGGGCCAAGCCCACCGCTGTCCTCTAAGCTGCCACGGGGCACCCCAAGACCTACCAGCCAACCAGGGAGCACTCTCTGCATTAAAGCCTCCCTCCTCTGACACGGAAGATGGAAGTCAATCCACACAAAAGCCAAACTCAGAAGGAAGACCCTGCAAACAACCCAGGTGAACTCCGAAAGGAAAACATACCCAAAGGTCTCCTCAGGGGGCAAATCAAGGAGCTGGAGGAGGACGTGAGGACAGAAGCACGCGTCCCTGAGAACGGTGCCTGACGCGGAAATTTAAGTGCAGATTTGGAAGATGAAGTGAAGAAAATCTCAATGTGTGATAGAAAATATGTTTTTTAAAAATACTTAAAGATCTTACCCATAAGATTTCCATAAAAAGAAAACATAAAGAAAGAAACTGTCAGTTACATATAATAACCAGTTCCAGAGCAAAGTGCCTCGTGAGGGCTCTGTGGGATGGCTGAGAGGACCTGTGCAACGGGCAGAGTGACATGCATGCAAGGGAAGGACAGAAGGAGACCCGCACACTTCTGATAACAATTAGAAGGAGCGATGGTGTTAAAAGGGAACAGGCCGGGGTTAGGTCTCTAGGTTTTGCTCAGCGATCTTGGAAGGCACCAGAACATCTTTAGATTCTGGTTGAATATCATTTCCAACTTAAGATTCTACACCCAACACACTGCCAATCAAGCAAAGGCACTTCCACAAACCTGAAGGCTCACCAAACACCTCCCTGGGCACTCTCTTAGGAGGTGCCCAGAAGACGTGGGGCAGCCAGCCAGGTGAACAAGAAGGAAGGCCGCTGTGAGGACAGATTCTACCTGAATTGTCATGGAGAAAAGCTCCCAGATGACAGCTGGGCTCTGCTCTGGAGAGGGGAGGGAGGAGGGGGAGAGAGGAGGGGGAAGGGAGAGAGGAGGGGGAGGGGGAGGCAGGAGGGAAGGCCCAGGAAAGTGCACAAGAATGCTGCCCATCTACAAATTGTGCTGTGCTCCTCTACAAATGCACCACAGCAAATTCTATGTTTACATGTGATTATTGTGCACTAATTTAAAGTAACCATCATAAAATAGCAGGGAGACCTATAGAGAAGAGCAAGAGGAGGAACAGGGAAAGGAAAGGGGAGGTACTGGGGAAAGAAATTGCCCATGGCTATGGGCGTGAATGCACATGGCATTACAAATCCCACCACTATGCATAATATAATGCCCCAATTAAAAAATTCAAGCATTCAGAGAAAAGAGGGTCAAGGAAAGTTTTCTTATATCATGAAAACACGGGAAAGAATTTTCAACACATGGATTGGATTGCATGGCACAGTTGAAAATGAGGCAATGAATAACTCCAGGAAAACCAAAAAGCAGTGGTGGAGAAATGTAATCCCTGTCCCTAATGTCCCATTGCTGTAGCTAGCAATATACACACACTAACTAACAGCTCAAACACTACTAACCTCAATAGCGATTGAACAATGTGCCTGGTCAGAGGATCAAATCTTCAAGTACCACAGGGCTTTTCAACCTCAGTACTTTGATGTTTGGGGCCAGATAATTCCTTGCAGTGGGGGCTGTCCTATGCGTTGTCAGATGTTTACCAACATCTCTGCTGGTAGCAACCAGATGCCACTGACACCCACAAATGTCTCCAACCATGGGTGTTGCCCCCTGGATTTTAATCTAACATAACAGGAAGTGCCCTTTGACTTATGAAATGTGATAAGTCATAAATTGCAATGTCAGTATACTTTTAGTATAATTAAGGAAACTTCAAGAAGAAACCACCAGCAGGGTTATAATGCTTTAGGGGACCGGGGTGGCAGGAGAAGGCAAAAGATGGCTGGGTGTCATTACACATTTTTATACACTATTTTTTTATTAATTAAGTGCCTGCATGTTTGAATTTTAAGATACTGTTGGGGCCCGAGAGAAGGTATGTTTACATCTAGTTTGGGAACTCGCTGAAGTCTTCCTGTACATATCTCTCTGCTCAAAGGGAAGTCTATGCGACTCTATCGATTGATTTGATTCACGCATGTTCTCGAAATCATAAAAAACAAACAGCTGTTGTAGAGCAACATTTTAAAAATCTTGTATGTCCCCCAAGATCACCAGCTGCAGCCCACTGGTCCCCCTGCTGTGTCGCAGGATGACTATGGTAAAGGATAAGGACTCAGGGAGGTCTCTGCACGAGATCCAGGGGCAGAGGCAGGCAGTGCTGTTCCTGGCCTTCCTCTGTTACCACAAACCTCAGCCCCTCCCCCAGCCACAGATGTCCTACTTTGCTCCTTTAAGAAAGCTGCTTTCTCAGGGAAATCGTTACGAATGACATAATAAATAAGATTAAAGGAAGACATGATAATCTGCAAGTGACATGAATTCTCCCTGATTCTATTTAAAAAAAAAAAAAAACTTAAGAGGGACAATAATTCCTCGGTGCTCAGTGCGTTTGCCCCTTTTTGGTGGTCGTCTCCGCACAGGGTGGGCAAACCGCCTCCCCCCTCCCTCAGCTTCCTGGGCTCCCACTGTGCTTTCCCACCACCGTCCACCTTTGCTGGCCAGCCCAACATAGAAGGGTCTTGGACTCTAACCTATTACCAGGCTGATGAAAGGGCTTGTTGATGATGACCAGGCATGAGAACTGCTAGGCAGTCTTCCTGTGCAGCAAGGTTGGTGACTGTGAGAGGGGCAAGTCTAAGGACTGAACGGTAAAATTGAACACAGTGCTCAAACGTCACATCATGCGAAGCTTTAATTAACTGAGCTGTTCAGGTTGGGAGGGAACGAAAGCAAGGATCAATAGATGTATGTTCTGGGTCCTCCGGGCCACACCACCGAAAACACTGGCCACCGGCTCTGCCCCGTGAACGTGTGTATCAGAATAGCTGCTCCTGCCACAAGGCACACCTAATTCCTGACACCAGGAGCCACCTCTGCCCACTGCACCTGCATTTACCACCAGGTCCTCAGCACACAGACGCTCTGGAGAGGGTGCACCACCCCAGCCGGCTGGAGTACCCTCGTGCTGCACATGCGCCGTCAGAACTCTCAGTGCCATGGGGCTGATTATATTTCATGCCGTTTTTGACACCAGCTACGGGAGGCTTAAACAAGCAGGACCAAAGTCAGTTCAGACAGAAGACAGGTTTCCAAGGAGTGAGGTAAGTGCACAGCAAGACGCACGCAGCCTCCGCCGGACTGACCCTGCTGCCGCACCTGGGACATGGCAGGTGACGCCCCATCACGGTGGAGCCGGAACCCACCCCAGGCCACAGGACGCTTCCTAGCCCAGCTTTGGCTGAGGAACCAAGGCACAGGATGGGAACAGTGATTAAAGACACAGTTAAGGCCCAAAGGCTTCAAAAGCAAGGGCTGTCACCAGTGCTGGAGCTGGGACACTCCTCTCCCACCTCCTGGACCTGAGGACCTTCTCACACAGCAGCATGCAGGGAGCTAGGTCTTTCCGTCTTTCTCTCCAAAACCAGAGCTCATGGGGCTCCTCCTAATCCCCCAAAGCGGGCACTCACAGGTGCCGGTCTGGCAGTCTCTGGCTCAGCAGGCTGGCTGGGTCCCCAGCCACCACCCCTCCCAGCAGCCTCCCACCTGTCCCTCGGCCTCAAGCTGAGGGCTGTTTACTTATTCATGGTCTGCCTGAGCTGGCCAGGGAGCCGTGTCAGCTGAGCAGGATGGTAATTCAATCTGCAAATGCTCCGCACATGGCACATCTGTCCCTGTGAGTCACCCAGGCAGAAAGCACACGGCTTTCAGAGCCACCAAGGATACTGGTGTGGTGACAGCTAAC